GGGGTCAGGGTCTCCTGGGTCTCACCTGCCCAGGTGGGGTCAGGGTCTCACCTGGATGGGGTCAGGGTCTCCTGGGTCTCACCTGCCCAGGTGGGATCAGGGTCTCCAGGGTCTCACCTGCCCAGGTGGGGTCAGGGTCTCACCTGGATGGGGTCAGGGTCTCCTGGGTCTCACCTGCCCAGGTGGGGTCAGGGTCTCCTGGGTGGGGTCAGGGTCTCACCTGGATGGGGTCAGGGTCTCCTGGGTCTCACCTGCCCAGGTGGGGTCAGGGTCTCACCTGGGCGGGGTCAGGGTCTCACCTGCCCAGGTGGGGTCAGGGTCTCACCTGGGTGGGGTCAGGGTCTCCTGGGTCTCACCTGCCCAGGTGGGGTCAGGGTCTCACCTGCCCTGGAGGACTCCGGACATTCCAGCCACGCCCAGCTGGGCCAAGAACGAGGAACGGGGGCCCAGGTGGGGCTGGGGTCACCTGGGGAAAGGTGACCTCCTTGACCACCTGGACCTTCTGACCACCTGGACCTGTGACCACCTGGACCTGTGACCACCCTAAGAGTGACCACCTGGACCTTCTGACCACCTGGACCATGAACACCTGGACCCTGAGACCACCTGGACCTGTGACCACCTTGACCCCGTGACCACCTTGACCTTCTGACCACCAGGACCTGTGACCACCTTGGCCATGGTCACCTGGACCCTGTGACCACCTTGACCTTCTGACCACCTGGACCTGTGACCACCTGGGCCCTGTGACCACCTGGACCATGAACACCTGGGCCCTGTGACCACCTTGACCTTCTGACCACCAGGACCTGTGACCACATTGGCCATGGTCACCTGTGACCATCTGACCACCTGGACCTGTGGCCACCTTGACCCCGTGACCACCTTGGCCATGGTCTCCTGGGCCCAAATGACCACCTTGAGGCCAAGACCACCTTGACCTGTGACCACCTTGACCATGAACACCTGGACCTGTGACCACCTTGACCCCGTGACCACCTCGACCTGTGACCACCTTGACCTTCTGACCACCAGGACCTGTGGCCACCATGTCCCTGTGACCACCTTGGCCATGGTCACCTGGGCCTTGTGACCACCTTGAGAGTGACCACCTGGACCTTGGGACCACCTTGAGAGTGACCACCTGGACCTTAGAACCACCTGGACCATGACCACCTGAGTGACCACCTGGGCCCTGAGTGACCACCTGAGTGACCAGTGAGTGACCCTGAGTGACCCTGAGTGACCCCTGAGTGACCACTGAGTGACCCTGAGTGACCCTGAGAGACCCTGAGTGACCCTGAGTGACCCTGAGTGACCAATGAGTGACCACTGAGTGACCACTGACCACTGAGTGACCACTGAGTGACCC